CTGCTGTGTGTCTAGCTGCTGCCGCCCCAGCTGCTGTGTGTCCAGCTGCAGACCCAGCTGTTGTGTGTCTAGTTGTTGCCGTCCCAGCTGCTGTGTGTCCTGCTGCCGCCCCAGCTGCTGTGTGTCCAGCTGCTGCTGTCCAATCTGCTGCCAGCCCACCTGCTGCTGTACCACCTGCTGTCGCCCAAACTGCTGTGGATCCTCTTGTTGTTGAACTTCATTCATGACCACCAGCCCTGAGTCAACCACCATGATGTCAATGCATCTGTCATATTCATATTTCCTTTCTTCACAGCACCTGGCCTAGCTCTAAACTGTCACTATGTTTATTCATCCCCTTGGTCATGCCACCAAGCAACTATGTAAGAAGCAACAATTTAATTTATTATTTAATTTTGTCTGTTGTCTGCCTGGCATTCATTCCGATGTCAAATGTCTACACTACTCTAGTAGAAGATGTTCCTAATCTATGATTGCTGTGTGTGCTGGACCTTTACAACAGATTCTGTGTAATAACTATGTCTCAATAAATATTTACTAACCTGATAGAAGCTACTTTTTAGTTGTTGATTGCTTATTTTGAGTTAAATTTGGGTTTTTGTCATGTGAACAAAGAAAACTGACCTTTCAAATATAGGCCAAAGCTAAATAATTATTATACCTCCACCCCCCAGGGATGGGGCAGATTGGCCATCTCACTTTCTGTCAAGTCTCTGGAGAGAAAACAAGAGCTTCCTTCTTACTATACTGAATTATGGATTGCCTGGCAAGGTCCTTGCACTACTGGGCTCTGGGAAGCACATGAGATGGATGAGGCCCCGTTTCCATCCCTTAGGTAAGATCTTAGATGTAAAAGAAGGCATATCTCAGGTACAGTATGGTGGTAATATTGAAAAGTTATATGAGGATTGATTCAAAGAAATAACATGTATCAAGTCTGAAAATTTAAGGGACTATGAACAGCTCACAAACACACAAGACAAAGTGAAGAGAGGATCAGATGACAAGAGAGTCTTTCTGTTTTGAAGGTAATTATTATTTTTTTTAAAAAGTGCCAAGATACACAGTCATTTTAAGGAGGATAAATTCATGGAGTGGGATTAATTATGATGGGCCCCATGAGAAGACAGGAGCCCAGGATTTCAGTTGATGTCACAGATGCAGTGGGAAACCAGTAAGTATTATGAATGATACATTACACTTACAGTAAGGAAAGAACTGAAAGCTAAGCTGGAGATGCTTGTTAGTTGTTATTTTGAGAGGCTCTATTGACACACTTGGGTGAATTGTCTGTCTCTATGCTTCCTGTCTTCTGGTAGCACTGTAGGATCAGCACTGGACTGTGAACCACAAGGTTGGCAGTTCTAACCCATCAGATGCTCCTTAGTTCAAACCCACCAGCTGCTCCTCAGAAACCCTATATAGGATTGCTATGAGTTGAAATTGACTCGATGGCACTTAACAACAAATGCTTCCTTTCTTAAGTATCTAGTGGAGCTATAACAAAAATACCATAGGAAGATGTCTCTAACAAACAGAAATTTATTCTCACAGTTTGGGAGGCTAGAAGTCCAAATTCAGGGGCCCAGCTCCAGGGGAAGGCCTTCTCTCTGTTGGTTCTGGGGAAAGGTCACTGGCTTCTTTCAACACCTGTGGGTCCAATGTCCCTTGGAAGTCTCCATGCATCTTGGCATCAATCTGTTCCTGGATCGAAGAGGTTCTCAGTTCTTTCTTGGTGGTAGTCAGATTCTTCCATTCCTGTTCAGTTATGTGATGCTGTAGGATAAGCACTGGATGGCTAACCATGTGATCCGTAGTTCAAACCCACCAGCCACTTAGAATTGACTCAACAACACTTAACAACAACATATCTCAAAAGATATTGACTCAAAAT